CCTCGGGGCTGCACCTGAGCCCCCGGCCTCGCGGCTCCCCGTCCTTCTGCAAGTTGTCCGCACCCCCTGCTCTCCGCTCCGCTTGCACACCAGCTCAGGGACCCCGGCGCAGGACGCCGTCGGCCTGCGCCCGCAGACACCGGCCACCGCGGGAAGTTTGCCTTGTCCATCCCCGCCTCTTCTCCCGCCCGGGGTTGGCGGCCGGATGGGGGCATCCGCGGTGCCAGACCTGCACTTGCCACCCATCCCGCAGGTCTGCACCGGGCGCGCCCGCTCGCCACACCCACCCCGACTGGTGGCAGTCCCTCGGCTGGGAGCACGGTATTCCACAGAGGCGACTGAAAAGTCCTTCTGCTCGCCCCCAACCTTGTCTGCACGTGTCTATTCCTCGTCTTTGTACCTTACAATGCTAACATTCCTGGGATTCTAAAGGCGGGGTCGGGATGAGCTGAAGCTCTGTCCCAGGTAAGGGGGAAAGGTAGCGTTGAAGTTGTGCACTGGAAGTGAGCAACAGGATGCTAGGAAGTTGAAAGGCGATAGGAAGGTTCTTTTTACCCAGCAGTGAGCACAGGTCCCTGACACCCTTCCTTTTTCGGCTTTCCTGTATCTATTAATACCTAACAAAGTTTGCGATGAAATTGCCCTGTTAACGTGCAGCTCCACGATTTTTACACCTTCTGAGAGACAGTAGCCTTTCACGGCAGTGATAGATTATTCAGGACACTGAAGTGCCGTTTTAGAGGGTGACGGCAGAAGTTGGGGCCCTGTGGAAAATCAACCTCTGCCCTGCCTTCGTGTGTGTGTGTCCGAATGACATTTTCTACAAGTGACATCTGATTAAAAAGAAAAGCGGGTGAAGAAGAAGTTAAAAAGGGAAAGATACCACAAAAAGACTACGCTTAAGCTGAGTAGAAAAAAGGAAGGAAACAGCTTTGCCTACCCTCCTGGTGTTGATCAGGGGCTTTTTTTGTTGTTGTGAAAGTTTTGTTTTAAATACTCCAGCCAGCCACAACCAGTCACTCCCTTTTCTGGGCTGTATTGAGTGTTTTCCGTTTTCTAGCTGCTTGGAAGTAGTGGAGCATAGAGCCTGGGACACCCCGATTTCCATTTAATGGAAAGTGCATTACTGACTGGGTTATTTGATAAACAAATGGTGTTACTGCTACTTTGCTTGAAATGTATTTTTTAACTGTCTGGCTTTCTCTCTGTAGATTTAAGCTTTTTGGAGGCAGTTTTGTGACGTTTGACTCACCCTTGGAGTAATGTGAACAGCAGGTCTCCAACTTGCATGCTGTGTCAACGTGGAACCGGCAGTGTGTCTTAACCCTCACCTAAAGCGGAAATTTTAGAAGAACAGAATGGGTGTCTGGTTAAATAAAAGTGACTGTGTCAGAGACTTGAAAAAGATCATTCTCTGTGTTTTAGTAGTAGTGTATATGGCTATTTTAGTAGGCTCAGATCAGGATTTTTATAGTTTACTAGGCATATCCAAAACAGCCAGCAGTAGAGAAATACGGCAAGCTTTCAAGAAGCTGGCATTGAAGTTACATCCTGACAAAAATCCAGTAAGTAAAAATTTCTTTTTAAAATATACCTACTTCGTGTATTTTAGCAAGTTAGGATGGTTTGATCTTAAATTATTGTAAATTCCTGCTTCAGAAGTCTAATCATAATTCAGCTGCTATGCTAAAAAACAGAAAAAGCAGCGCATTCTGCTGTAGAATAGCGTGAAGGAATGTCAGTACCAAAATGCAATTGTCTAGTAATTTATAAGCTCTTGCCAAAAATTCTATTAAAGATACTCCTCCAATAGAAACAATAATGTCTGTGGTTTGTTCAGTACTTAAAGTAGGTTCAGATCAACTATTGCGAGATGATTACAGAAAAATTATTTGGTTGGGAACTTAGAAAATAAATGTCTTGCTAAAAATAGCAGTAATGACTAATAATAGCATTCTTTGATTTTTACTACTTTCTCCCCAACTAAAATTATAAACTATTATCAGTTGAAACTTGAGTGTACCCAAAATGTAGTATACTGGTAAATATGTATTTAATATTATAACTTCTAAAAGTGAATGTGGTGTCAGTTTGTCATTTTTATGATTTGCTTCATTGATTTTTTTCTTAGTAAGATTTGATCCTCAGCATTCCCAAGGAGAAAGATGTGGTTTTGTGTTATGGTCTTCTATTTTCTAGTTAAAATAAACATCATTTTATTTGCTTTTCTGAAGTTAAGCAGAAAAACCCGATTCTTTCAAAACCTCGCTAATTGGTAACCTTTTCCAAAAATCTACATTGTTCTTTTTACAGTTTTTCTTTAAAATTGCAGCATATGATCTTTTTAAGTTTCCATATGAAAGACCTGGGACCTTGCTTATCCAAGCCCATTGCCACAGTCCGTGCCAACTCACAGGGCTTTCTAGGCTGTCATCTGCTCATCTTATGGTTTAGAGTAGTTCTTCCCCGGGCCTCCAGAGCTCTTTCTTTTATTCAAGAATTAATTGAAAGCATTTCTATGAAGCTCGCTCAGTAACAAATCACATTTCTAACCAGTTTTGCATTATTCCTGTGGAAATGGTTCTTAATTTGTTTATCTGATGAATTGAAATATATGCCTTTATTTACATAATAGGTTAATTGTGCCTTAGATAGAAGGTAGAAATCTATTCCTTTAAAAATGCCTTTGAGGTTAACAAATAGTTAAAAGATTGAGTCTGAAAATGCTTAGTAATCATTTTGTTCTCAGAAACATTTCAAAGAATGACTGATAGTGTGTAATCATATCTTTCAACCTTCTAAAAACTCAGTTCTCATTTTCCTTTTTTTTTTTTAATTGATAGTTTCTTTGAAAATAGTTTTATTTCAACCCATGATAACCCATTTTATATTGTACATCCCCTCCTGCCTGCTATGTCCCTGTTACCATCAAGGTAATCCTAGCTCACAGCTACCTTAGGTAGAACTGAGATTTGGGATTTTCTTGGGTATAATCTATATGGAAGAAGCTGTCTTCCTCGAGTTTGAACCACCAACCTGTAGGTTAATAGTTAAGCACAAATCATTCCTCACACCTCGACACCTTATCTGCTAGCTAACCTCCAGAAACTCAGGATTGAATCAGATCTACATTTAGCTTTGGAAGAGACTTGGATTATGTATCTGAAACCACTGTTGTTTCTCATTTTTTCATAGAATAATCCAAATGCACATGGTGAGTTTTTGAAAATTAATAGGGCATATGAAGTTCTCAAAGATGAAGATCTGCGGAAAAAGTATGACAGATACGGAGAAAAGGGGCTTGCAGACAATCAAGGAAGAAGCCAGTATGAAAGTTGGAACTACTATCATTACGACTTCGGTAAGATGCAACTGTGACTTCGAAACTGTGTTTGTATTTGAGCAAGTTCAGAAAAGTTTCACTGTTTGGATTATGTTGTTTCACCATTTAACTTACATAGTCCAAATCACCTTGACCCTCCCTTTAGTGTGCCGTGGAGTGGCATACAAAAGGATAAAAAGTGGATATTTAGAGATAAAGGCATATTGGTCACTATCTGATTAAATAATTTTAAAATGAAGATAGCTATTCAACGAAAAAAAACTTTTTAGAAGTTAAATATTGAAGCCTTTCAATATCTTTTAGAGAGTCATATTTCCTAAGCTCTAATAGTGATCTCTTCAGTTCACCTTCTCCGATGGAACCTTTATTAATAATAGCTTATGTGGGTGAAGGAGTAAGAAAGGCGGCAGAAGCAGAGGGAGGAAGTAGAAAATCCAGGGAGAGTGGCGGTAAACCTGGGTATCAAGGCAGGAAGGGAGCATGCCAGTATCTAATATTTTTGCTAATCATTAACTAGCTTCAAATGCAAGTTAAGGACTGTAGTATTATACTTAACTAAATAAAAACACTGTAAATTTATACCTGGGGGCTTTATTTCTCAAGACTTGCTCTCTAGTAATAGCAGGAATTTCAAGTGAATGCTCCACACTTTGGTAGCCTATCAGTAGTTAGCAAACTGCATCCCCCAAGGCATATCCTGCCTTTGTTGATAAATAAACATATCGGGGCACAACCACACTTCTTTCTTTATGTATTGTCCACAGCTGCTCGGGGATCACAAGGGTCCAAGTTGAATAGTTGCTGCAAAGACCCTTCAAATGTTTGTTCTCTGACCTGTAGGGTTGCTGACCCATGGTGTGATAGCCATCCTTAGTATTATTGGAGTATTTGATATATTAATAATAAGAAAATTTGCCCTTGTCACTATTATGATCATTATATTTATGAAATAAGTTTGTTTTTCCTCTGCAAATGTTCTAGTTATAGAGCTTTTAGTGGTAGAAAATATTTTAAAAGTGATAACACTTCTTAGAAAAAGCATAACTTAACTGTAATCTAGTCAACAGTAAGGAACCAGTGTCATGTTCCTGGTCTTAATACTGAACTGCAGCTACGTAGAGGAAGCTGGGTTGGAAAGTACATGAAAGTTTTCTATTTTTGCAACTTCCTCTGGCTCTATTAATTATTTCAAAATAGTATATTTAAGGTATATATAATAAAAGTTTTTCTTCACAGATGAGTTGAATGTTAAGACCATAACCAACCCCCTTTACCTGTAATAATCCAATTTAGGAAGTTAATATGTTTAGATTATTCTTCAAATTTGTCACAAATGCTATTATTTACTTTGGCTTTTCTCTTGGCAGTTTGTTATATAATCTTCAAGTTTGAGATTTAGTATAGTAATCTAATTTGGGGATAGTTAAGACTCAAGAATGAGTTTTATGTTTTCATTTTGTGATTTTTGTGTGCTTTTACAATTAGGTATTTATGACGATGATCCAGAAATCATAACATTGGAGAGAAGAGAATTTGGTAAGTTTGGGGGACATGTGATTTCTAACATTAATACACGTTTGATCTCTTTTCTAAAACTCTTGGGAACAAATGTGTTTGATCTAAAAATATTTTATTTTTCAGATTTTAGAAAGGTAATGTGGTAAAATGTAAAAGGGAACCCTGGGAGGTAACAATAGTTAATGTGCTCCGCGATAACAAAAATTGGACATTGGTGGCCACTTAGAGGTGCCCCGAAAGAAAGCCGACTTCTGAGAAGCCCGCTTTTGAGAAACCCTGTGGGGCAGTTTTACTCTGACACACCTGGGGTCTCCGTGAGTGGGAACCACCTTGACAGCAAGTGGTGACAATGTGGCACAATGTAGCACCATCACAAAACATGACTGTGGCTGCAGGGACATGCAGAAGTGTGTGTACTAAATAAGAGGGCTAAAACATGAGCTAAACCTAACACATAGCCTCATCATTTCAGGGCTGGCTTAGATGCCAGATGAACTTGCTGCAAACTTAATTTTTAAAAAGCAAAACACTTTTTTTTCTTGTTGGCTAAGTAATGTGGTTATTTTGGAGGCAGACTTAATTTGACCTATGCTTAGGGTAGGAACCCTGGTGGCATTGTTGCCTAAACGTTAGCCTGTTAACTACAAGGGCAAGGATTTAAACTTACCAGCCACTCTTCAGGAAAAAGATGTATGCCGCCCCCTTGTAAGGACTTACAGCCTCAGAAACGCTATCTAAAGATCCTGAGTCAGAATTAGCTCAGTGACCTTGGATTTGGTTTTGACTTAGCTTATGATTGGTATGAAAATCAACGTGAAAACTCAAATTATAAAAGAACTCTTTGTTTGTTGCATTTTAGAAAATTACATTAGATTCCTAGTTCTTCAGATGTTTTACATTTTTGTAAGAGCCCCACACATGGTATCACCAATATCCTCATTTCCTCATTTTTTTTAAGAAGCTAAAGGAATTTAGAAAATGATGATGGCAACATATGTACAAATATGCTTGACAGAGTTGATATATGGAATGTTATAAGAACTGTAAGCGCCCCAAACAAAAGGATTTTAAAAAATAGATTAAAAAGAAGCAGCAGCAGCAGCTGAAAGGAGCTGGCCAGCATGGGTGGTAGTGTTAGTTTGCACTGTCAGGGTCATACCGCCTACCTGGTGTGGGTCTGTCTACTACTGTTCTCTCTGTTCGTTTTTTTTGGCTGCACAGTTGTCTTTGTGTATAACTTACAGATAATTATGAGCTATTTTAAGGTGATGTATGTTTTCTTTCAGAGAAGAGTTATCTCTTCTTCTATCTGGGTCACTGACAATCTCAGATCGGTTTTTTCCATACAGAGATTAAAATTAGTCAAAAATGGAGTTTTGCACCTTGAGTGGGCTGGTCATTTTCCAGTTCAACTTTGTTTCCAGGGCTGTTTCTTAAATGTGCCGCGAATGTCATGTTACTATTAGCGAGAAGGTGAATGGTTAGAATCAATCCAGAGGCACCTTGATAAGCTGATGCCTTTAACAGAGGAGTTTCCTATTTTGTCCAGTTTTCCAGTTTGCGATGGGAGTGTCCACCCATTACATGAGGCACATTTGTCAGGAATGGAACTCTGGGATGTTCGTATATAGTACAGAAAATCACGTTGTGCATCCTTTTTATGAAACATGTTATCTTTCCCTACATTATAATGCAGTGTTATATCAACACATTAATGATTAAAAACAAGTTCAAGATAGTATTTCAACAACAGAACATGTTATCCAGGTCAGTCTAAATAGGGACTCCACAGACATCCTGTTGAAGGCAAGTTCAAGAAGTTAAAGAGGACCTGAAATTACCTGTGCTTATTCTTAAAAATTGCTATGCAAATAGAAGATAGTGTTTTGCTGCCTTATTATAATGTTAAAGTGAATCAGATCATGTACTTGCCTCAGGGTATCCAACGATCATGGGGCTCCAAACTTACTGGGCCTACTGCCCCCTTTTCAGAAAGAACACAAAAAAATAGCGCCCACCTAGCAATGAAAAACTTGTGTTCTTTATCTCATAATCTAGGAGAGAGTCTGTTTGCTTGTGCAGCTCCCTTGAATCTTTCCAGAGCTCCCCAGGGAGGAGCGATGGATTAAAATGTATAATGCATTGTTGACTAAACATTTTCTGTCTTGCAAATCTATTTCAGCAAATTTGTATTGATGCTTTTAATTGTTAAAAACCTTGACTTTATACTTTTTCAAACAAAACAATTTCCCAGTGTAATCTCTTAGTTAGGGGCAAAGATTCCGTATTATACCCCACAACTTCCCTTATACTTTATCATGTGAGTCTATCATTTGATTCACTTGGATTTTAAAGCAACTGCCCCAACTACTGGGCTGAACCACATTTCCCCCACCATTAACCTGCCGTTCTCTCCAGCTTCATGGGCATATGGATTGTACTGTTCAAGTGTAGGCTTCAGAGAAGTTTTATAAAACCAAGAGCAAGGAGAACTGAAATATTTTCTTCTTTGTCAGAAAAAAATGTTTACATAAAAAATATAAAGGTGTCATCAATGATTTATAACACACTGCATTAAAAAAAAGTCAGTTCCACCAAAAAGAAAGCTTTTTTAAGGTAAAATATTCATGAACATTTAGTAAACAATTTTAACAAAGTGAATGGGGGGGGGGACATGGAGTGGAGACCCAATGCCCATCTGTAGACAATTGGACATCCCCCTACAGAGGGGTCACAAGGAAGAAATGAGCCAGCCAGGTGCAGTATAGCACTGATGAAACACACAACTTTCCTCTAGTTCTTTGGTGCTTCCTTACCCACTATCATGACCTCAATTCTACCTTACAAATCAGATTAGATTAGAACATGCACACAGCTACAGATAAGAGCCCACCACACAGGGAATCCAGGCTAGAGAAACGCCCCGAGGCCAACAATGAGAGTAGAGACACCAGGAGGATTATGGGAGGGTGAGGGGAGAAAGGAGGAATCAATCACAAGGATCAACCCATAACCCCCTCTCAGGGGGACGAACAATGGAAAAGCGGGTGAAGGGCGATGGAGGACGATGTAAGATAAGGAAAAAATAATCTATAACTTATCCAGGGTTCGTGAGGGAGGGTGGGCAGGGGAGGGAGGGGGAAGAAATGGGGAGCGGATATCAGGGGCTCAAGTGGGAAGAGAGTCCTTTGAAAATGATGATGGTGGCATATGTGCAAATGTGCTTGACACACTGGATGAATGTATGGATTGTGATAAGAGATGTACGAGCCCCCAATCAAAGTAATAAAAAAAATTCAGTTCCACCAAAAAGAAAGCTTTTTTAAGGTAAAATATTCATAACATTTAGTAAATAAGTTTAAGTTGTTTTGGTTTTCTGTACTTTTAGATGCCGCTGTTAATTCTGGAGAGCTGTGGTTTGTAAACTTTTACTCCCCGGGATGTTCCCACTGCCATGATCTAGCTCCCACGGTACCTATACTTTTACACCTTGATTACTGCTTTACTGTCATTGTTTCTGCTTGACCTGTTACATTAGGTTTGTTTTTTGCTGTTGTTGTTTTTTGTCTTTTTAATATTTGATTAAAAATCCCCTCCTAAAGACTCTGTAGGGAAGAAAGCAGTCTCAGGAGAACATGTGTTGCTTCTTTCTCCTAGTGGAGAGACTTTGCCAAAGAAGTGGATGGGCTGCTTCGGATTGGAGCTGTTAATTGTGGTGATGATAGAGCGCTTTGCCAAATGAAAGGGGTCAACAGTTATCCCAGCCTCTTCATTTTTAGATCTGGAATGGTAAGGACTAATGCTAGCTTTCTTTTTTTTTTTCTAAGTTACAGAATTTAATTACAAATGAAATTCTAGAGAAGATATGTTTGTCAACTTCTGGGGTGTTTTTATTTTTAAGTCGTATTTTAGGGCCTTCGGTGAGGCTTTGTAGTTACAGTAAACCTTCTTGGACCGTATTATGAATGCTTTTAAGTTCTGTTACTTTGGCTTTGCTATCTTTCTGAATTAAATATTTTCAAATTTCAGCTTCTGTCTTAAAAAGCATCATTTACCAATGTGTGTACTTCATGGTTTATAAAATATGTTATAGGTATAATGTCATGAAATATAAATATCCAATATCCTTTTTGTTTGTGAAGTCAGTTTTCAATGGTGAAACTCAATGAAAGTGAGTGGAAAGAGTATTATTAAACTGTCTTCCATGGATGCTGTACACTCAGATTCTCCATAGTGTCTCATTTGAAGCTATGCTATACTGTTGACTGAGGGACAGGTCTTCCTGTATCGTTCAACATAATGTCAAAGCGAAAGTAGTTGACATTTTAAATGAGCTTTAAGAAGAAAAAGTAAAGGATGTTTCTTTTTGTGTTAAACAAAAACAGACTGCAGTGAGATACCATGGCGACAGATCAAAGGAAGATTTAGTGAGGTTTGCCATGCAGCACGTTAGGAGCACTGTGACCGAGTTATCGGCAGGTAATGTGATTTTCCTGATTCGCTTGATTTCACAGTTACTTTGAAGTAAGTATTCTTACATTTTCCGGTGGCAATATTTTGTTATAGTGGTGGCATTTCTGGGCCCCGTAAAGGGAAATGGGTCATTGGCTCCAACTCCTATTAAATAGTGGACATCTAACAAATGAATTCTTCAGAGGCTGAAACCATCGAGATGTGGGACATGGGGATGAGGTGGGTTGGATTAGGTGGAAAAGTCAACTTTGAAAGCTAAATGTTTTGTTAGACAAATGCTTCATTGCTTTCATAAATATATAGATAGTAAATTAATGCCTATCCAGTATAATTTTGAAGTTCAAGAACTCTTCTAATCTTACGTTTTTAATTTACCAATTGAAAACAGTTACATATATAAATATTCAGAAGTATCCATGAAATGACCTCCACAGTATTCATGGCTGACGGGGTATTTGTTTTATCCATTGAATACCAGTTTTATCTCTGAAACGGTTAAATACTATGTGTTTATGTACATCGTACATAATGGTACTGGTAACTGTTTTGAATGTAATGGTGACTGTTTTTTATTCCATAAAGAGTTACAGTCCTGGAAACCCACAAGAGCAGTTCTACTCTGATCTGTAGGGTTGCTGTGAGTCAGCACTGACTGCACTGCAGTGGTTTTTGTTTTGTTTCGGAATTCTAATGAGGGAGACCATTGGTAAACTTTTAAATTGCAGTATAGTGACTGCTGTGATAGAGGTGAGCTTAGCTAGTTAGGAAAGCACAAGACATAAATCAACCCAGTTGGAGAAAGGCTTAGGAAATACATTTTTTTAAAGGTCATATCCAGCCTGTCTTGATAACAAATGGTAAGTCTTAAGTGATCTCTGTATGTTTGGGGCACTGGCAGTACTTCCCCATCCACCTGAGAAAAGGATGGGACCTGGGTAACATGGTATGTGCAGAGAGACGTGACTGCTGAATGAGTAAACACAGTGCAGATCACAGGGACCGTACCAGTTTGCATTCCTTTTGAAAAGTAATGATGTTGGATTCTATAGTTAAAAAGAGGGGGAATTCCCTGAGAAGGGATTTGATGTGCCCAAGAGAACTTCTAGTGAGTGAAATTGTGCTACTCCAATGGACAACAAGAGTGAGATTAGAAGCAAAACCTTTTTAAAAATGTTTCCATTATCAAGTAACAGGTGATAAATTTGTTTTATTTTCTTTTAAGGAAACTTCGTTAATTCCATCCAAACTGCTTTTGTTGCTGGCATTAGCTGGCTGATCACTTTTTGTTCCAGAGGAGGAGGTAATTTTATTTGCTATTTTATTATGATGATAGACTCTCCATTTAAATTTTGAGTGATAGTATGGCAGTGCTACTGCAGTGGATTTTACACTACTTGAAACTGAATTGTATCCAAGATTATAATTTTTGTCTAGTGGATATTTACCTTTTTGGTTATTTTGCATGTAAGTGGGTATACAATTAATTTTAATATATCATGATAAATTGTTCCTTCCAGTAGTTTTGGAAAATTTAGCAGATGACAGATTATACAGGTGCCTTATTAATCATTCATTTCAGAATTAAGTATATTGCCCCATACTTTTGAATATGAAAAATTGATACATACTTGCTACATATGATTATATATTTGAAGAAGACCACTTCCCATTTAAATGGACCTTTTCCTTAGTGAATTAAGTTGAAAATTCATTTCCCTTTGTACAAAAATCACAACTGTAAATTCTTTCAAATAAAAAGATTGGTTAAGAACAAGGTATCATTATTATAAACTATCTTAAATCATGAATGTATTATTATATGTTTAGTCCCAACCTAAGTCTTTTCTGCATACTTCACTGCTCAACATCTTTGGGCCCTTTGAGAAGGTATTGCCTGCAACAGCAACTCGGCTTACCTCAGCCTTCCACTGAAAAGCAGTCTCATTTTGGCCTAACACTTAGATTTTTATCCATGTACACATGAACACTTTAAAAGCTTGTTTTACTCCTCACTACAGATAACTGTTTCCACTGTCTCTGTGTGTTCTGTGTGAGGAACTCTCCTGGTGCCGTTAGGTAATCATTGGACTGCTAACCCTTAAGGTCACCAGTTGACACCCACCAGCCACTCCTTGGAAGGAAGAGGAGGTTGTCTGCTCCCGTGAAAATTTGTAGCCTAGAAACCCCATACAGGGTCACTATGAGATGAAGTGGACTTGATGACTCTGGGTTTGTTTTTTTGTTTTTTACACATCTTTACCAAATAGGTCCAATATATTCCATTTCTCCTAATTCATAAGATCCTTTGGGGAGCGAAATTGTTGATAAGAGGGAATGAAAATAAAATCCTAAAGACATTTAAGAGAAAATTACTCTCTTTCCTTGCTGCTAAAAACTAGGGAATTAAAACCAAACTCACTACCATCAAGCCAGTTCCAACTCACAGCTACCCTATATGGGACAGAGGAGAACTTTCCCTTGGGATGGGAGGCTCTACAGAGCGGAAAACCTCATCTTTCTCCCATGGAGCAGCTGGCGGATTCGAACTGCTGATCTTGTGGTACCAGGGGTCTTAAGAGAGGCTAAAGAGACATCATAAAAGGAGGGTGTGTATACAGCATGAGATTCAGTATCCCTGTGGTAGATTATGTTCTCAGTATTTATCAGTAAAGCCCAGTGATGTGCTCTGGAGTCAGCGTGGTAACTGGGGGAAGGTGACTGGAGCCACACTCTTAATCACCTAAGGTTGCCTCATACGTTTTTCTTCCGCCCCCAGACTGTTTGACTCCTCAGACACGACTGCGGCTCAGTGGCATGTTGGTAAGTATCAGCCATTTTATAAACCTGTGTCACTGTGTTAAGACGCACACGTAGAAATTGATTTCAAACATTTTTCATGGCAGGTTCTTGAACATTCGTCTCATGTGTTTGTAATCCTCCTTTCTGATAAACATATTCATAGCAGTAAGTGCCCTTTCAACCAATGAGCAGTATCCCATAAATCTTGTCTTGGGCGTTCACTGTCAGTCACTGCCACAGATTTTCATTGGGTTATGCTTTCACCTTTGGCCTAAGTTAGTGTTTTTTCTCTGCACTTATGCTATTTGAGACAATATATTTCATTAATATATATGTCGATTAATATATTTCATCAGCTGTGGAAATTTCTTAGTTGATAACTTTTCAACTACTGTGTCTTTCCATTCTTTCTCTTTTCTCCTGGAATCCCAAGTAACTATATGCTAGACCACTTTTTATTTACCAATTTGACTGGTCCAAAATTTTTATTCAGAACTTGGAAGTCTTAAGAGATATACATTACGTATTTATAAGACCTTGCTGATTAAAGGAATTCAGCCACAATAGGTGAAAACTGGAAAGGCATTAAGTGAAATGCACGTGCAGACAAACACATATCTGGTGAACCATATGATCCTTGTGCAAAAGATAGTTAATGAAAAGTTTTGTTAGTTTGATTTTGAATTTTTGTTCAAAATCTTCTAGCCAATTGCTTTTACGATTTGGTATAGGGAAAGTGGGCAATAATGTCTTCGAGGTTGCCCACTTTCCCTAAACCAAATTGTAAAAGCAATTGGCTAGAAGATTTTGAACACAAATTCATTATCTCAAGGAATCGAGTGCTCTGTTTAAAAAGTTTTAAATTTACAATCGGAAAGTTGTATTTTTATCTCAGTGAAGCCAAATTTCTGAGCTTGTTTCGTCCATTTACAGCATGGCCTGTTTGTCTTCTGTCCCCTTTAGGATGGTCTTGTTAACGTGGGCTGGATGGACTGTGCCACCCAGGACAGCCTTTGTAAAAGTTTGGATGTGAAAGCAAATACTATGGTCCACTTTCCGTCTGGAGCCACTTTGGTATGAATCACTCTTTTAAAAATTTTTTTCTTTTTATAAAACAGTTTATTGGCTATAATTCACAAATCATATACTTCAATAATTCAATATTAAGAGTTGTACAATCATCACCATGGTCAGTTTAAGAACGTTCTTATCTTCATATCTAGCTCTCCATTTCCTCCCAACCCCTCCTGCCTGCCATGCTCTCAAGGAACCATTAATCCAGTGCTGTCGTTCTAGGGTTACCCATCCTGGATCTCATATACAGAAAAACATTAAACAAACAACAACCATAACAAAGTAAAACAAAAAACCCAAAGAGAAAGCAGAAAAGATTAAAAAGTAGAGCAAATATAAAACACCTAGATCAAATGATAGGGTGCTAAATTTTAACCTAAATTTATTTCCATATAAATATACCCAATCAAATATAATGTGTCATTTTTATAAACAAGAAGAAAATATATTGATTTATCTCATTTTGACACAACTTAATTTTGGGAATTCTGTTTAATGCCTAGTCAGTTTGTCATGTCTGTTACAGGAATTATTTTCAAACTAGTGTAAACCATTATATTTTTAAACCTTGAAGATATACTCTATGTTAAATGAAGGAATATTTATACCATGAGTTTCCATTTATTTATGTATATATTTTTGTTTTTATTTGTATATTTTCTAATACTAAAATATAAATTATTTAGGTTGGCTGAACCCCAGTATCTTGAGTTTCTTATAAAGTACCCTGTGGCGGTCTTGGGGATGCAGAGCCTCCAGGCCCTGGGCCCAGAGTTGGAAGTTCCAGGAGAGAAATAGTAGGCTTTTTACTCTCAAAGATTTATAGGCAGAGAAATCCGTAGTGGGTATTCTCCTCCGTCTCCTCTGTGGCAGTGGGTTAGGCAGTCTCAGCCTAACCAGCCCCCTTGTTACACAGCTGCCAGCCCACAGCTACTGCGTGTGACCTGCTCTTAATTCTGCCTGAACCAGCTGTGAGCCCTGAGTATATCACTTACCTCCCTTTGTCCCTTTTGGGTAGTGGAAGTGACCTCCCAACCTGCTGTGCCAGGTCGGGACGGTACGGTATGGAAGGAAGGAGAAGGAGACGCTTAAGGAACTAACCCAAGCAGAAAGTATGCCCAAGCGAGCAGAGCAAAGCTACTGAAACACTCCTGGGTAGGTTTTACCCAGCCTGGGGCAGAGAGCCCTGCCCTTGGTGCTTACCTGGTCCTGAGTCAGTCAGACCCCAACCAAGGTGATCAGAGGGCCCAGAAACAACACTGTAAGCATTTCTCATCTGTGGTACTGTACACATCCCATTCATGGTCCTTTCCCTTTCTGCAGCCCTGCCTGCAACAGTGATGAATTGATCTGCTGCCAGTCAGGATTATGTGGCGATTGCTTCTAATGCCCATTTTTATAATTAGCCATGTGGCCACAAATGTTTTGGAAACCATTATGGCTGTACGCTGCTGGCTTCCTTCATCTGGCTGGCTTATCTTTACCTTGATCCTGTTTAAGACTAATAAAGCCATCTCTTTAAAAAATGTTTTTTAAGCATAGATGTCACTTTCAGGACTTAGGTGAGCCAGATCCATTCCATGGTATTTTCAGTCATGTCATGTCATATACATGTGAATGCTCAACAATAAATAAGGACGTTTGGAGAAAATTTCTTTGAATTTTGGTCATGTTAAAGAATATTAAATATGCCATGGACTGTGCTGCTGGTTGAGCATTGGACTGCTGACCTCAAGGTTGGTGATTCAAACCGACCAGCTATTCCTCCAGGAAAAGATGAGGTTATCTGCTTTTATAAAGATTGATTTACAGCCCCAGAAACCCTCTACAGCAGTGGTTCTCAACCTGTGGGTCGTGACCCCCTTGGGGGTAAAACATCCCTTTCACAGGAGTTGCCTGATTCATAATAGTAGCAAAATTACAGTTATGAAGTAGCAACAAAAATAATTTTATAGTTGGGGGGCCACCACAACATGAGGAACTGTATCAAAGGGCCGGGACATCAGGAAGGTTGAGAACCACGGCTCTACAGGGTCACAGTGAGTTGGAATCAACTCAGTGGCATTAGGGGTTTCTTATTTTGTTTTGTTCTGGCCAGGAGAATGAACAAATATGTTTTGGAAGAAGTACAGCTAGAATACTTTCTAGAAGGAAGGGTGGTGAGACTTTCACATGTTGCCAGGAAGTGCCAGCCCCTGAAAAGGAGCATCATCATGCTGCGTAGACGGTCAGTAGAGAGGAAGACCCTCAGTGAGGTGCATTGACTGATAAGGTGACTGCAGCACTAGGCTCATTTGTGAGGATGGCAGTGTGCCCTCCTTTGGTGCGGACACCCTTTGTCTATGCTGCACAGCAAGCACCTAACAACAACGGTGGATAAGTTATTTACATACAGGTAGGCTGCTCTTTTTTTAAGATGCAATTTTTTTTTAAGATAATTTTATCGGGGGCTCTTACAGCTCTTCTTAACAATCCATGCATCCAATTTAATCAAGCCTGTTTGTGCTAAGGAGCAATTTTTAAAGTTATAATTAACATGAAAAGTCAATGAATTATAGACGTGTTAAAAATTTCTGTTTTGACGTTTTAACACTTCAATAACAGGAATTCCTAGAACTCTTCAGTAATATTTATGCTATGGACTCCACAGTTTTAAGAAAAGAGAGAATTTCTATTTTGTGATACCATTCCCATGTCAGATTTCATGCCACAGCAGTTCAGTTGTGAACTTAGATTGTTCATAACTAAAGATCTATGTAAGGATTCTTGCTGATGAAAATAGGAAACTAAATGAAAGGGTGGTTGTAAAATCAGAATTATTAAACTTCATTTTGTCAACCACCAAGTATGCTTCCTTGCGGGTCACCATTGCCGCACTCTGTGTAGCAACAGCTACTTCCTTGGCAACTCGACCGGCAGAAAAGTCTGGGGG